CAAAGTAAGAATTGAAAATTGAAAACTTTATTAAAACAAAATATATTCCAATTATGTATGGAATTGAATAATATTGGCAAAGTTTTATTCCCAAACAAACAGTACATTAAATATTTATAAATTATGAATTTTAATAAATAATTATTTTGAAAATGTTTAAATAAATAATACATAGATTTAAATGAATGCATACTTATTAGAGAATAACATGAGTGGCATTGGGTTGGAGGGGATTGGGTTGAGTTGGAGGGGAAGGTGTGGTGGTGTTTGAGGTCTCATTTTTGGCCAAATTAGAGGCCACAGGTGTGGACAGCAATTGGTTTTGCTTCTCTTTGAGGACAGAAACGGCAACTGATTTACAAATAAATATTACAATAAATAGGAAATTATGAGAAACAAAGCTAACCTCTATCTCCGGGTACGACTACACCGCCGGGCAGTCCGAAGCTGCTGGTCATGACATCTCCAAACTGGTCGACCACTTCATTGACAGTGAAGGCAATGGTGGAGAGAGTGGTGACGGCAACCATTCGGTTGCGAAGCAAATCCATATTTCTTCGGATATGCGTCACGTAATTGAGAAGCGGTCGCAATCGGGCCACCAGTTGGTAGCGTCGGTTGACCTGCGCCTGTCTGATGGCCTCCTGGATCTGAGTCTCCATTTTTGCCAAATCGCGCAATACTTCGGAAAACTTTTCTTCCCTAACGCTCGCGATTTCGTTCTCATTCGGAGGGATATAGAGTTGAGAGAACTTATTCACTGTCTTCACAGTTGTGTCCGTTTCCAGACTTTTCTCTATCTTTTCGTCCAAATCTATCAATAGTTTTGCCGTCAATTCTATGGCATCTAATTTCATGTCATTCACGGCCACACCATTTATACAGTAAAACAAAGCAATTGTTTGCAATATAAGGAAATAGTTTGTCATTTTGTGGCCGACTGTAAGCTTTTGTGCACAAGCACTGAAACTTTGGATCAAATGCTTGGATCAGTGTTTGCTTTTAACAAAGAGCAGCATTTGAAGCATTCATAAGAATGTCGTTTTCAAGTATTGATTAATTTTGCTTAAAACAGGAAAACTCGTGACAATAAACTTAACGGTTAGTTAGCAATCAAGTGGAAGGAGAAGCTGTCAAAAGACCGGTTTATTAAAGTTCATTGAATACTGCAAATGCTGTTGAGTCGGATCCAATCACTTCCATAACCTGTTGTTCACTTTCAACCATCAAATGACCGATAGATAAAAGTCACAAATGAACTAATCATATGAACTGCGGTCTTATAACCAGTGTTTGGGGTTAAGAACTTACACCTTAAATAACTCATTCATAATTACCGTACATTATTTTTATTACTAATACAATACATTTAATTTTCATGATACGGGAATAATACAGATAGTTACTTTTCATTTTTGTCGTCAATTCAATACAAATGATTAGATTATTTATTGTATTTTAAATAACTGTTCAAATAAATCATCTTAAATTACTAAAATTAGAAATACTCTTAGTTTCAACATATTTGGTGCAAATATATTTGCATTATAATTTGAAATATAAAAAGCTTTTTAAATATTAAGACTTCCGATGAAATTATTAAATTATTCTTTAAATTTAGTTATAAATTAAATTATTATTATTATTATTATTATTATTATTATTATTAATTTAAATTATTATTTTAAAATATTTTATTGAATAGTAAAATAAAATAATAAAAACTTGATTTTTAATACCGGTATTTTTATTTAAAGGTAATTTTAAAAAGTATATTAATTTGTAAAGAAA